GGCCAATGTGTAGGTGCACAGATAAAGAAATATTTGGATATTTACACCACAGGACCAAGAGGGGAAAAAATGAAAGCTCTCTATAATGCACAGAAACTAGCAAAATAAAGACTGTAGGTAGCTAGGAAGGGATCTGGGCACTGGCCATTCCAACATCTCTGAGAGCAACCTGCCACACAAGTGTTTAAAACCTGTACCATTTACTAGTTGTTTTCTACGGGTTAATTCTATCCCTCTTCCAGACTGGAGGCTCCTGAGAGCCAAGCCTTATCTCCTATTGCTTCAGTCTCCTCGCTGGTGTTCAGTACAAAGCAAAGGTTTAATATATAAATTAAATACTTATGAGTCGACAAACTTTTACAAAAGACGACAGCACAAAATCAACTCTAAATAATAATGTCACTGTATTTTAAGTTGATGAAATTTAAAACAGTATTATAACCAGCATTCAATGCTAAGATGAAAATTCTAAATTCATTACAACTGTGGCCATGATTAATCATGTGCAACTAATCATGTACAAGTTTAATCATGTATCTTAGGGTAAGGTAAGATTACTTCCTTAACATCTCTTTTCTATTAAGTTACATGCACTATGCTAAGAACCAAAGACCTTCTTAGCTCATCACTTATGGATTTGCTTTTAAAGAAAAAGGTCTGACAGGGGTGCTGGGTGGCTTGTTGGTTAAGTGTCTGACTTCGACTCAGGTCATGATCTCACAGTTCGTGTGTGAGTTTGAGCCCCACGTCGGCTTCTGTGCTGACAGCTCAGAGCCTGGAGCCTGCTTCAGATTTTGTGTCTCCCTCTCTCTCTGCTCCCCCCACCACCCCACTCACATTCTGTCTGTCTCTCTCTCTCTCTCTCAAAAACAAACATTAAAAAAAATGTTTTTAATTAAAAATAAAGTCTGACAGCTTAACAAAAATATAAAATTATGAAGTTGAATTAGAACAATATTTAGGAATATGAATTAACATTATCACATCCCCACATTCATTAGACCAGAGTTTCTATAATCATGAAAGAAAATATTACCAAATATTGGTTTATAAATTTCATGATGCAGAATAAAAAAACCCCTCTGTGTCATTCAATACTCATTTAAAGTTTAATTTCATACTACTGTGATAACCAAAAAAGGAATGCCCGATCTTTATGCCAAAGAGAAAACTCTCTCCAAACACACACTAATCAAATGTCATGGCTATAGTTTTTTGTTTTTTGTTTTATCCCATAGCAAATGCAGAAAGTCAATAAAAATGTAAAGGAATGTGGTATTTACACTGTAATTAAAATTCACAAATTCACAGAATATGAAAAATGTCAATGGTAGAGTGATGCCCCCAAGTGGCATAATGATAAATTGCAATACTTTGATGGAAAAGTTAGAATAGCTATTCCCTTTTGTCAAATTCTTCAGTTAAATCTAAAAGTGCATATTACGTAAACCTAGATTTCATAGGGGCTAGTAATAAGTGTCCTGTAGACCACCTCAGACTCATAGTACACCCAAGTCACTCTTTTAACTAGAGAAGAGATAGTCTGGTATATAAAGGTTATGATATACTTTCCTTATAATCTCAAACAGTTAGGGGTATGTCTGCAAAACAATGAAGGGAGTCAGATCTACTTTGATTTATTAAAGGAGAAGCATTCACAACATTATATAAATCTTTTCAGAAAGTATTATTTCCTACCCATCTCTAATATTAACCAATTCCCTATGTTTATAGCCCAGTACGTAAAGTAGAATCTAAAATTTTATGTAACCAAATTGCTTGGACAATGGGTAGTGCTAATTAATGTGCTTTTCTCACTAACTAAAGAATCAATTGTCAACACTGTGGGGAAAGAATCTTTAAAAAAAAATGAGTTTAGTTTCTGCCTCTGTAACATGTATGAAACATAATCACTGATAAGTTGCTATCTTATGTAGCTAAAAAGTCAACATTCTGAGGATCAATTGCTTTTGGACAGTCATAGAGATACAAAAGAATATGACAATAGAATTGTTACAATCTCAAGAAAGATTCTTGAAGAAGATTTTAAAATCACATGCCTGATAGCAGATTGCTTGGAGAGATTTCTCTCTTAAAAGTGGAATACAAAAGAAAAACTTCCTGTTAATAGAGAGTAAAGTTATTGGGTCATGACTAGATAAAGTTTTGGTAGGCTTCCTTTAATTATTCCTATAACTTGGATTGTTTATAAATAAGATGAACCTCAACTGTTATTGAGTGATAATTATATATAAGGTAATGTGATATTCTGTATCTTATGCATATATTTACAAATATATCTTATATTTGTTTTTATATTATATATTCCTTATTAGATAATATATGTTTATCTGGATGTTTTATACATACATAGATATTTTATTTAACCCTATTTCAATCCTATGAGGTTTAATACCCATTTTACACATAAGAAAACTGAAGCTCAGATGAGGAACCTGCATAACGACTGGCTTTACATTTGACCTGTTCACCTCCAAACCCTGTGGTCTTAACTGTGACACTTACTGACTTCCTTCTAGCCTTCTAGGATTTTGTGAGCAGCCACAGACATGATTCTTCATGATTTTAGCAGAGGTGTAAAATCAGATGTCTACAGAGATAGGCAGTGGGTATAAGAGACAGTGAAGAGTGGTAAGACACGGCTAATTGAAGAGTACAGGTTCTGTCTGAAGGGGGCGGCTGCTACCCAGCTCCAGCCCATATTGGCTATATAGCATCAATGTTAGCAAATGTTACCAAATCTTTTTTTTTTTTTTCCAAGAGAAGATGAAAAGCTCAATCTTTATGAGAATGTACATTTTTAAATACTGGCAACTAATTTAGACTAAAAACAAAAACCCCACTATGCAGGCCAAACAAAACACATCTGAAGGCTGAATGTAGCTTGTATGTAGTTGTAGAGATTCTGATGATGAATGATTCCTTTTCAAGAGATTCTACACCAGACTTTTCGGTGTCAAATAATTTGTCAATTATCCTCACTGTTGGATTCATTCCACAGACTGAGGCTTCATCTGCCATCTTCAGTCCAAATCAGGTATTTTTAGACCAATGCAAGTACAGGAAAAGTTATCGGCAAATCACATCCCAACCAACCAGCCCCTTCCTCTCTCATTTCTGCACCCTTCCTCCAACACACGCATATACACTACACTCCCATATACTATGGGTGCATATACACCCATCATCTCAAGTCTGAAGCTTTCAAGTTTGGTCTTCATATATCTTATTTTACATTCCTTTAATCAACTTTTTAGCCCTTCTGTGAATTTCCTTAAAATTCTTCATATTCCTTACTCATTAAAGAAACCAAAATTGGATATGATCTTTATGATGAGAGACAGAAGAAGAAAAATGTTCACTTTTAGCCCTTTTAGCCCAGAAGACTGATCTATAGCCTGCATAGTTCCAATAAGGATCAAAGACGTACTGGTTGCTACATTCTTAAAGGGTCTCATGACTGCCTGCACATCTCACGAATAGTTAATACCAAGCTGAATGATAAGCACCAGAGAAATCTTGTGAAAGTAGTTTTACAAGCAGAAATTCCAAGAAAACCTTTATGATCTACTACTCCCTGCACATCCCCTCCCCCTTGAGCAGTAGGCATGTAACCACCAGCTTCATACAACAAAGGTGCAGCTCTTTCTGCCCACAGGTCCTGTCCCTGTGCTATAATAAAAGCACCTTTTTGCACCAAAAACATCTCAAGAATTCTTTCTTGACTGTTTGCCCGTGGCCCCACCTCATTTACAGTATGATGTACACAAGTCCTGGGTCAGATTTAGGTCTTACTCTCAATGTTTCCATAAAGGTACTCTGGTAATTTTCAGAAATTTATCATCTTGTTCTACTGGCTGGAAGAGCACCTCTAGGATTTATGGAAAAGAAGTCTTTGATAGGAGTCGTTAAACCTGTTCTAAGGACACTGTCGTCATTCCTCATAGAGGAATTCAATGAAAACTATGGATTCTTGATAATTACTTTGTAAAATTCTGGACACAGAGACCATTTAAAAGGTTGAGTTTGAAAATAAAATAGCAGCACCAACATTTACTTTTCTAATTCCTATGTAATATTAAGAAGTAGAAAATGTTTATCACACTGATATTAAATCCAATGAGCAAAAGCTAAAAGAATTTTGAGTTGACTTAAAACCTCCAAATAAAAGAATAGATTATGGGATGGAAATTTGTTTGCCTAGAGTTAAAGGCTGACATCTTGGATCATTTTTACTTCTGCCTTCTCTTTTTTCCTGTTTCTGACATACAAGATGTACAAGTTTTTTATCCTAACTCCAATTCCAACTAACTTTTCACTGTAGCAAATTCAAACAACTTCAAGCTAAAAATGAAGATTGATCCTTATCTGTAGCAGACATTTTCTCTACCTTGACAGTTTAACAGTCCCATCAAAATCAAAGAAAAGGAAGTAACCAGAGGGCCCTCAATATAAGTTAATTTTAGATGGGAGCTCCTGTTTGATTTAAATGTCCTAATTTGAGAGTTGTATGACTACAGACTGAAAAACTCCCCCATAGAAGAAAGCCAAAGAAAATTAATACCATATTTCCTTTTAGTACACCCTATTCACCTCAAGTGTGAATTACCATTTATTTGCATTTCATAACATTTCTAAAACTGCCTTCATTATAAACAATTCTTACTTTCTCATTCAAGAAGTCCCAATCAAGTTAAATGGAAGCAACGTTGTAATTGAGACTCTGGTATGCATAAAAATCTTATCTCCACTTAATCTACTCCATCTCCCTTCTCTAGGTCGTTCGGGTACTTCACTCACCTACTGAAATGGCTTTAAAAACCTTATCTGGAGACATCATTCAAGAAGCTTTTCTGTTGCTTATTCAATTCTGACCACCTTAAATGCAAAAAGCAAACGGTACTCCATATTCTTAATCAGCTAAGAGCTACGCATACAAGGCAGCCAACTCAAAATGCGTATGAAGTATTTTTACTTACAATTCCTCTCCTTGTTTTGCTTTCTTGTCTGAGACCAGATAGACAGTTCCAAAACTTCCACTACCAAGTTTCTGTTGAACTACATATCTTCTTGCAATCAAGGTCTTTGGATAAGCAGAAAGGGCTATTGGTCCACTCACACACTTAGCAGCCTCTTGGAACTTCAGCATTGCTCCAAATGAGAGAGAACTAGTTTATTTGTTTATAGAAATTTAACTTCGAGTCTCCTAGGAGATCGTCAAATTAATCCAAGTAGCGTCAGTCAATCCCTGAAAGATGAAAAGTCCAGAGATCAGGTCTAAAGAATGTCGACAGATTCCTAACTATGTGTATGTTTCTGACCGTGATGCTTGCACCCTGAGTAATGGATTCAATGACATCACATTTAATGACTTGAGAGAAAAATGTTAAAAGGTAGAGATATTGCAGATTCTAATAGAAGACAGTCACAGGAAGAGAGCCTTCCCTCATACATCTGAATGAATATAGCAAAACTGAGTTACAGTTAATCTGTTTAAGATTTATACTCCCCACTTACTTAAAAAAAATCCAAATTTAAGAACATTATAATTTCCTTAAATCTATACATTTGCATTAATCTTTTTGTAATTCTTTTTTGAAAAAAAAATTTTTTTTAACGTTTATTTATTTTTGAGACAGAGAGAGACAGAACATGAACAGGGGAGGGTCAGAGAGAGAGAGGGAGACACAGAATCTGAAATAGGCTCCAGGCTCTGAACTGTCAGCACAGAGCCTGACGCGGGGCTTGAACTCACGAACCGCAAGATCATGACCTGAGCCGAAGTCGGCGCCCCAATATTTTTGTAATTCTTTCTTCCTACCTTATGTCTGTTTTGATTAACAAATAGTGAGTTAGGATTTGGGGCGCCTGGGTGGCTCAGTCGGTTGAGCATCCGACTTCGGCTCAGGTCATGATCTCACGGTTCGTGGGTTTCAGCCCCACGTCGGGCTCTGTGCTGACACCTCGGTGCCTGGAGCTCGCTTCAGATTCTGTGTCTCCCTCTCTCTCTGCCCCTTCCCCTGCTCATGCTCTATCTCTCTTTCTCTGTCAAAAATAAATAAACATTTAAAAAAAAAAATAGTGAGTTAGGATTAGACTAGAAATCAGCATAGAATTTCTTTCTGTAGACATTAAACCATTGTATTTGCATCTATTAGAATACATGTAAAGAGGAAGAAAGACTTCAGAATAAATTCTTTCCCCTCCTAAACAATTTCTGATCCAGTTTCTGAAGTTATTATACACACTATGTAGAGAGTAATCTCTCTGGATTGGAAACAAGAAGTGTCACAAATCCAGTTCAAACCAAAAATTGTATTTTAACGATAACTGAATATAAATGTGTTATAATTCCTCAAGAAACTATAAATGCACAGCAGGATTATGAAAAGTAGGGCTATTCCATATGAGTGTGTGCCCAGTAAAGTCATTTCTATTTCATCAAAATGTAAATGTCTTTAGTAATGATGAAGAGTGGGTTTTGTTTTCAATCTATGAAAATATGATTTTAAATTGAAGACTGTCTATGCCTTGGAGTCAAGTTTCCATATGCAACTATTCCAAAGCTGTAAGACAAAAACCGCTTGTGTGTAATGATAAAACAAGATGTTATCTGTGTTTTGGGGTATATGACCAACAGGCTTCACATGGTGGTGGCAATTACAAAAATCCTCAGAATAGAATGTAAATGGTAAGTGTCCATTTACAGCATTTTTCTTCTTGAAATAATGCATTAATCAGTTCAGTTTTACCTGATGCCAGTCAGAAGTATTCTAGTAACCAGCTTTAAAAAAAAAAAAGAGACAGAGAGAGGTGCTTGGCTGGCTCAGTCAGTACAGCATGTCACTCTTGATCTCAGGGTTGTGGGTTTGAGCCCCACACTGGGCGTGGAGATTAGTTAGAAATAAAATCTTAAAAAAAAAAAAAAGGAAAAGAAAGAAACCAAATTATCCTGCGGCTGTGTCTCATGACAATACTAAAACAACATTAACATTGGGTTAGAACTTCAGAGCTGGTGCCTATACCTCAAAATCCCTGAATAAATAAAAAATTATGTCAGATTATCAAGATCACAGAAAATATTAGTGAAGTCTACTAATAAAAAAGCAACTGGAGAGCAGGCCTCCAGATGTGTATTTTATTTGCTTTCTGTGCTCCCATAAAAGTGATACTTTCTGGCCAAATTAAGCTGTTAAGATAAATGTATGGACTTAACAGCTTTTTCAACTGAAAAGGACCCTTCAAATCACCCAGTAATTCTCCTTATTTTAGAGGTGAGATGAAGGTCCCTGTTTAGTGAGAGACAGAATGGTTCTGAAAGTCCAATTTCCCAGTGGCTCCTATTTGTAAATGAGCTTTTAAACCCAGCAACGTCTAAGCAGTCTGGCCTGGGCCACAGAGTTTCCTTTGGCCCAACCTCCCAGACTCAGCCCTGCCGCCCCCTTCCCCAGGCCACCTTTAGACCGTCGACTCCATTAGTCTCCTCTCTTCAAACACAGAGCTACCCTAGTAGGTAGAGGGCAGTCTAGATTCCAGAACAATCTGTTCTCTTGTCAACGTTCCCTCGCGCCCACCTCAACGAAGGTTGTGAATGAACTTGAGCGCCAGGGACACACTTCTTTATCTCTCTTTGGCGCCTGTCATCTAGTACGTGTTCAATAAATTTTTTCAGGGCAAACAAGCGTCCAGCCGACCGACTGTGGCCCAAGGGAGAGGGGGAAAAGTGTGCGTGGCGTGAGGAGGAAAGAGATTTACAAAGTTGGATGGGAACCGTGAAAAGGTGAGATTACCTCCTTGTGCAACTGACCCTTAGACAAAAGACATGAGAAGGAGTGTTTATCATAGGTTGAAGTCAAATAGCTCTCCTCCCTGAAATGAGAGGAAGCAGATTTGACACCAGATTCTGCTAAAGTACAACGCTAACCTTAAAGGTAAACTTTAACCTTAAGTTTAACATTCCTTGCCTCAACTTCTTTAAAAAAAAAAAAAAAATACACTTTCGCAAAGCGGGTTAACATATTTCGAGGAGGCGCCGGCAACCGTTATTCTCCGGAGACTGGAGCAGATCCGGGAGGAAAGTAGCTGAGGGGAGTGAAGAGGTCGCGGGCGTGGAGGCCCAGGGATGCGGATCTTGGCTGGGGCAGCCCGACGCCATCACCTTCCCCGGCTTTGGGGAGCCCGGCACGCCCCGCGGAGCGCCCTTTGCCTTTCTCATACCTTTCGCTGCCGAGGGCGCAGGAGCGGCGGCGCCGGGGCAGGCCCACAGTCCCACCCGTGATTGGGACGTACGTTGGGCAGGTCCCTCGTAGGCGCGACAGCACCGCGGAGCTCCAGGGCCTCCCGGCAAGGTTGTTGGGGACCGTTGCCAGGGAGACAGCGTGAGGCATGCTGGGAAGCCGGGGCGAGGCGGCACAGAGCCGGTCCCCGAGGCGGAAGTGTGCACCGACCCAAATGGGCGGGGAAAGGGGAAGAGGCCCGACCCGCCCGGCTTCACTAACATGACAGCGGCCATTTCGGAGATTACTTCCCGGCCTTCCTTAGCGACCTGACGTTTCGGGGCCCGGGAGCACCTGTTTCCCCGGCGCGGTGTGGCACCACTGGCTTCATGGAACCGAGCTTCCCAGTGACGTCATACGCGGAGGCTTCCGGTTCCCGCTCTTGAGGTTGGACTCTCACGTGCAGGCGTTTCCAGGACTCCCTTGGCTCCTGCAGTCTTTTAGTGGAGGGGCTGGTCCTCTGGGAGGACCGTGCAGGTGGGCTCTGCCGCTGGTCCGGGTAGCGGGTTGTAAGGGCTGGGGTGGCGTAATGTACGGAAGCCTGTGTTTGACGACTTACAGCAAACGTTTTGTGCGCCTTTCTCCCATCCAGCAAGCATTTGTTCAACAGCTATTGCAAGGTCCTGTAATTAGTTTAGGATGAGTTGACACGGCCTCCCTCTGTTCGCATGTATTTCACAAGACCCACTTATAAATAAATGACTACTATACTGGATAAGGAAGGGCCAAAACTGGGGTGAATCGAGTTGGGCGCAGAATGCAAAGAGGTGCCCCCGAAGTCTGTGATCCAGATACATATATTTTAATGCAGTGTATTTAAACGTCAAAAATAATGCAAAAGAAATACATGATTGACAAAATCTCATTATTTTAAATAAAGACAGAATCGGTAACCATGCCATGCTGAGCCGTATTGGAGCGTGAGGCCAAAGGAAATACTAGTAATACACACCCTATGACTTCAGGTAGCCAGATGGGGAACGATATTCTTGGTACTGAGCCAGAAAATGCAAAGATGAGAACATGAAAAGAGCCTCTGGTTAAGGTGAAACTGGAGAGTTTTAAGTTCTTCCAGGCATGAAGCAGTAATTGTCCTTACTCAAAACATTGCCAATTAAGATGGGACCACAAGCCAAGGCCTAAAAGAAATTCCCAGACCCTGACTGTCAGAAAAGAAAAACTGGATCCGTATCATTGACCCTACACACTTTAGTTAACTGAAGTCTTGTGCTCCCTGATTTATTAATTATGAGATCGAAGAGGGTATCGTTTTTATAGCTTAGGACTTTTTATCTTGACCCCACAAAAATATTCTTTGTTGGAAGACGGTAACGGCTATCTATCTCAATATCAAAGTCCACGGTAGTCTCTATTAGTCTGTCAGTAATGGACTTTAATGGATTCTCTTTTAGAGCCCCCCGTCTCTATCCATAGGTTAAAGTCCATGAAACCATTGCACTTGTGCCTTGTAACATACGGGGAAAACAAAAGAGAATGAAAATGAACTCAGCTAGCCAGTGGTGCCTGAGCATCTAGGTAAGAATTGAGATGCTGATACCTAATATATTGGTTAAAGAGCTGTTCGTGACATTTGCTGTTGGTTTGTGGTGCTGGGAATGATAACTTGGTCCCCAGTAAAGAGCACCAGTTGAAAGTGTGTTCCGTTGTTTTAATTAGGCAGTTCTTCAGTCATCATGGGTATCCGAGGACTAATGAGTTTTGTAGAAGATCATAGTAATGAGTTCTTCACTGATTTGAAGGTGCGGGACACAAAAATTGTCATTGACGGCTATGCTCTCTTCCACCGGCTTTGCTTCAACTCAAACTTGGAACTTCGATATGGAGGGGACTATGACTCTTTTGCAGATGTTGTACAAAAATTCTTTGAATCACTGTTTGCTTGTAATATCTGTCCATATGTTGTGTTAGACGGAGGATGTGACATTTCAGATAAAAAGCTTAAAACTTTAAAGGATCGAGCCAGAGAGAAGATCCAGATGGCTCATTCCCTTTCTGTTGGTGGGGGTGGGTATGTGTGTCCCTTACTCATCCGGGAAGTGTTCATACAGGTTTTAATCAAGCTACAGGTGTGTTTTGTCCAGTGCTTTTCAGAAGCAGATCGGGACATTATGACACTGGCTAATCATTGGAATTGCCCTGTGTTATCGTCAGATAGTGACTTTTGCATTTTTGACCTAAAAACTGGGTTTTGCCCACTGAATAGCTTTCAGTGGAGAAATGTGGGCACTATCAAAGGCACAGGAGACTGCTATATCCCTGCCAAATGCTTTTCCATTGACGCGCTCTGCCGTCACTTCAGCAATATGAATAAAGCTCTCTTACCTCTCTTTGCGGTGCTGTGTGGAAATGATCATATCAATCTACCCATCATGGACACATTCTTAAGTAAAGTCCGTCTGCCTCTTGGAGCTACCAGTTCAAAGGGGAGGAGACACCACCGAGTTTTGGGACTTCTGAATTGGTTATCTCATTTTGCCAACCCTACCGAAGCACTAGATAACGTTCTGAAATATCTCCCAAAAAAGGATCGAGAAAATGTGAAGGAAATTCTCTGCTGTTCCATGGAAGAATACCAGCAATCCCAGGTGAAGTTGCAGGACTTCTTCCAGTATGGTACTTATGCCTGTCCTGCCGCCTTGAATCTGGATTTACCAGAATGGGTATTAGTGGCATTGGCCAAAGGCCAGCTATCTCCTTTCATCAGCGACGCTTTGGTGCTAAGACGGACCATTCTTCACACACAGGTGGAAAATATGCAGCAACCAAATGCCCACAGAATATCTCTGCCCATCCGTCAAATCATCTATGGGCTTCTTTTGAATGCTTCCCCACATCTGGAAAATGTGTCCTGGAATGCGTTGCCTTCTCAGCCTCCAGCTTTCAGTGAAGTGGAAAGGATTAATAAAAATATCAAGACATCAATTGTTAATGCAGTAGAACTGCCCAAGGATTATTCTGACTTAAGCAAATTGACTGAGGTAAGCGTTTGTAACACTAATGTCATTTTTGTAAAGTACTTCACGGGTTAAAACGTGCTTTCATGTATACTATCTCTCGTAATGTAACCAAATGAGGTTGGTTGCTACTCCCCCCGCCCCCCGTTTGTAGCTGAGAAATCTAGGACTCAAAATAGGTGAGTGTGTGATACCTCAGCCAGAGAGGTGCAGTGCTAGGACCCAGTCGTAGGTCTTTTAGCTCCCAGTCTGCCATTTCCACTCTACTTCAGTAGTCTGTTATCTGTGCAGTTATTACTACTACTCTGTTGACACTAGCTATTCATAAATTGGGGGTGCGTGCCTTTAAAAAAAAAGGCAAAGGAAAAAATTCTGAGCTACAAAAACAGTGTGCGTTGGTAGGCATTTGTCATAGGCGTAGCTGATATCTTAGACTGCATCAGATTTCAACTAATAAGATTAATATGCTTGGGTCTTAATTTTTCATTTTTATCTATGAGGACCTGTTCTTTTAGGCATTAGGTTTATGGCCTCATGATGATTAGTTTGATATTGAAAACAGGATTCTTTGCCTAATTCAGTGTTGTTTAAACCTGAGTAACACTCAGACCAACCCCCTTTTGAAGGTAAAAAAAAAAAAATTATGGATCCAAGCGTTTATTTTTTTGTTTACATAAATATATTGAAAATTGCAAATATATATGGAACTGCTTAGGCTAACACAATTAAATGTACAGATTAAATGCAGATAAATTTATAATACCAATTGCAGGGCCTATTTGGAGTTTTTTCTTTTGTTTTCGTTTGTTTGTTTTTTGAGAGAGAGAGAGCGAGCAGAAAGAGGGGCAGAGGGAGAGAGAGAATTCCAAGCAGGCTCCATGGTCAATGCAGAGCCTGACATGGGGCTCGATCCCATGATCCTGGGGTCATTGACCTGAGCTGAAATCAAAAGTTGGGCGCTCAACTGACTGAACCATTCAGGCACCCCTATTGGGAGTTTTCTTAAATCCAACTAATATTCAGATTCATGAGACTGTCACAGACCACTCCTGGTACCAGTCTACTCAAGGATATAGGATAGCAACTATTGCTTCCCAGCAGGTTTGAATGAAGCTTTTCTTTCCTGTGGGAGTTTTTTGGAACAGTCTACACCACTGGTTCTCCGCTGGGGTGATTTTGTCCCCTTACCCTGCCCCACCTTCCCCGGGGGGCATTTGGCAATGTCTGGAGACACTTTTGATTATCACTGCCTAGGTGGTTGGAGGGGGGGAGGGTGTTGCTACTGTCCTCTAGTGGGAGAGGCCAAGAATGCTGCTAAACATCTTAAAATGCACAAGACAGCTGCCCACAACAAGGAATTATCCAGCCCAAAATGTCAGTAATGCCAATCCCGGGCCTACAGTGCTGAACAGAGAATAACCTCTCTAGTCTCCCCATTAGCACCAGCTCAGGCAGGAGGAAATGACATCCATATTAGCTGGATACCAGAGCCTCCTTGGCAATGGGGAATGACTACTAAGGGGAACAGGGTTTCTTTTTGGGGTGCCAAAATGTTCCGGAATTAGTGATGGTTGCACAAGCTTATAAATATACTAAAATCACCTTGAAAGGGTGAATGTTACAATATGTGAATTATATCTCACTTAAAGAAAGAAAAAGTCTCACTGGCCTCCTTTCCCCACTCCTTTCTTCGAACAATTCCATAAACATAGTTTCCGAGCTATGCCTCTCAAGGGCCGTGCCTAATTACAAGTCACTGCACTCAGGGAAGCCCCAAGATATGATGTCCCCATCTGGTGTTTATGGTTCATTTATAGTTCAAATCTAGTTGCAGTTTTACAAGAGTCCTTTTTACCATGCTAAGTAACACAGCTAACTTTATCACATTTCTAGGGTTTCAGAACTAGAAAGTTGAGCATAAGTCAAATTCCAAACAGAAGGGATTTGTTAAAACTTTACCCACAGCAATAAAATTGAAATTAGCAGAATTCTAAAGGGTGACGTTTGTTGCAATTACATTTCTCCTCACAACATAAATGGTGCTGTGGAGAGTTTTTCTAAAACTTTTTATGGCTCTATTGAAAAACGATGTACAGTGAAGGGCCCATGTTTAAAGTGTGCACTTTGATGAGTTTGATGTATGTTTACGTCTGTGAATCCATCCTTGCAATTAAAATAACGAACGTATGCATCACTCCGAAAAGTCTTCCTCCCTGAGTACGAACACACAGCGAAGTATACAGATGAGTGTAGAGCTTGATGAATTGTCACCAACTTGACACTTCCATGTAGAGAATGTCCAGATGAAGACTCATTATCAGCATCCCAGCAGCTTTCCCTAATGTCCATTTCCAGTACCCCCTCTCCCACCCCCTGTAATCGCTATCCGGACCTGTAATAACACTGAATAGTTTTAACTGTTTTTATATTTTTATAGATATGGAATCCTGTAATGTGAATCCTTTCATCTAGCTTCTTTTATTCAAAGTTCGTGAGGTTTAGATCACTGTGAGTAGCTGCAGATCACTTATTTCTCATTGCCATGTTACCACATTGTGGGAATTTACCACAGTTGATCTTTCCATGTTGCAGGTGATGGGCATTTGGGTAGTTTGCAGTTTGGGCAATTATGAATAGTGCTATGAACATGCTAGTGCACATCATTTCTTGAAAATATGGATACTCTATCTGTTGCAGATACTACTAAGAGTGGAATTGCTAGGTCGTGGGATATGCATGTTTAGTTTACAAGATACGTTGCCAAATGGTCTTGCAAGGTGGTTTAACCATTTAGTATTCCCACCAGCAGCTTATGAAAGTTCCTCTTACTTTACACCCTTGCTGACACCTGGTATTTTTTATCCTTAAAAAAAAATTTTTTTTTTTTAGCTATTCTGATGGTTGGATAGTGGCATCATTTTAACCAATTTGGTGGGTGTTAATTTGTATTTCTCTGATGACTTATGTGAGCACCTTTTATGTATCCGTTGGACACGTGGATACTCTGTTATAGAAGTTTCTGTTCAAGGTCTTTTGCCCATTTTTCTGTTGGCTTTTTGCTTATTTCTATATATGTGTCCTTTGTCAAATATGTATTGTGAACAGACTCTTGCATAGTGTAGGTTGTCTTTTCACTGGAGTATGTTTTGATGAACAGAATCTTAATAGAGTCCAATTTAAATTTTTATTATTCATAGTTATCACTTCTATAACCTACTTAAAAAATTATTACCTACTCCAAGGTCATGACAGTTTTTTTGTCTTTCATATTTAGATCTACAGTCTATCTACAATTGATTTTTTTGTGTATGGTGCAACATAGGATCAAGGCACTTTTTCCCTCATATGAAAGAAAATCCAGCTGAGTCCATGAGTGTAACATGCCGATTATACTCTTTGCTAAGTGGAGATGACAAGTGTTCTCATCACTTGCCTGTATTCAAAGTAGGGTGAAAGTCTGGTTCACTTTCTTTGTGGTCGTATCTTTCAGCTTTTCCTAGGCATAAACTAATCAATCCTGTACTTAGTTCAGTGTTGCTAGCTCTAATTAACCCATGATAATTCTTTTTTCTTATTTATTTTTGAGAGCAGGAGAGAGGCAGAGATAGAGGGACAGTGAGAGAATCCCAAGCGGGCTCTACACTGTCAACACAGAGCCTGACGCAGGTCTCAAATTCACTAACCATGAGATCATGACCTGAGCTGAAATCAAGAGTTGTACCACTCAACCAACTAAACTACTCAGGCACCCCAATTCTTTTTTTTTTTTTAAGTTTCTTTGAGAGAGAGAGAGAGAGAGAGGATATGAGTGGGGGAGGGGCAGAGAGAGAGAGAAAGAGGGAGAGAATCCGAAGCAGGCTCCATGCCGTCAGCCTGGACCCCAACGTGGAGCTTAAAGCACGAACTGTGAGATCACAACCTGAGCCGAAATCAACAGTCAGACACTAAAACGACTGAGCCACCCAGGCTCCTATAGCCCAGGATAATTCAAAATGGTATCAAGTGCAAATGTGATTCCAAAGACAAATGCAGGTATAAAAGAAATCTTGTGATAGTTCTCTAGTCGTTTTGTTTTTCTTAACATGAGGCAGTAATAATACTTTATCTGCTTTGTGCCAACGGTTGTAATAGCAACTTTATACTTATTTCTCACAGTAACCACATAGGATAGGGTTTTCATTTGGTTATTAGCTGCAGTGGATAGAGATCCATTCAAGGTAACCAATGAGAGGCTAATTATAAGGAGAGATGCAAGTGGGTCTTTCTTTGGGAGTAAGCCCCACGACCAGCCTCTCTCTGGGTGCCTCTGCTTCTCTGTGGGATCTTCTTCTACCGGCTTGTGCTTTCCTTCCCCTCTGGGGTAAGGGGAAGTTGTCACTGGGCTAAAACCTAACCAAATTTCAGGGCTGTGAGCAGAGTCATTCCTCTTTTGGAAGGGGCTAAGAACTGGTGGGTTCCATGAAACATCTTGTGTAATTCATTGTAATGCCCATTTACAGATAATCAGATTGATGATAGAAAAGCTCAGAAACTTGCCCAATGCTGTACAGTTAATGAGAGACAGAACATTTCTAAAGTCAAAGCCCAAACCCTACTTTGTTCATAAAAATTGTAATTTGTAATTGAATTGTAGACAATTCAATAATTTAAGCGTTATATGTCAGAAAAGAATTCATGTATTTTTTTAGCTTTACTTGGTGTATTTTCCTACCAGTTGAGATCATAAAGTTTTTGTTTTAAGTACTTGTTATTTCCCGTAAGAGTGATGGCTTAGACTGTAAAGCATCTTGCATATTTCTAATTTTAAAAAGTTTATCACAGTATCGGGGTGATACTGTGGTTCAGTCAGTTAAGCGTCCACCTCTGAGTCCGCTCAGATCATGATCACAAGGCTTTGTGGGTTGGAGCCCCATGTTGGGCTCTGTGCCAACAGCATGGAGCCTCCTTAAGATTCTGTCTCCCCCTCACTGTCTCTGCCTACCTGCCCCCCCCCACACTCACGCTCTCAAAAAAAAAAAAAGTTTTATCACAGTATCAAAAGTTTAAAATGAGTTTTATAAATTATATTTAATGCTTTCATGCATCGATGGTGAAACTATTTTATCAATTATGATGTTTTATTTCAGGTTGCCATGTCCATTCCCAGCTGTCAACATACTGATTTGACTAAAACTAGGTTTTAGGTACTGAGAAATGTGTCTCATCCTTACATAAAGTTAAGAAAGAAATCCTTTTCTGGCTGCATGCAGACACTAGGAACACCAGTTTTTTCTTTCTTTTTTTAAAATTTTTTAGTGTTTATTCATTTTTGAGACAGAGAGAGACAGCATGAGCAGAGGAGGGGTGGAGAAAGAGGGAGACACAGACTCTAAAGCAGGTTCCAGGCTCTGAGCTGTCAGCACAGAGCTGGACGTGGGGCTTGAACTCATGAACCACGAGATCATGACCTGAGTTGAAGTTGGACGCTCAACAACTGAGCCACCCAGGCGCCCCGTTTTTTCTTTCTTAAAGTTTGGTGGTAAAGTCCTCCTGAAGGTGCCCTGTTAATAGTACAAATTTCCTTATTTGTTTAAGTGTGTGACCTAGAAGGTCCTTATGGTTCTTAAGATTCATTAAGGTAAAGTTATTTCAAGAAGCCCAAACCCCTCATAGCTGTTAACTCCCTTTTATTTGAAGTGTACTCTAACGCATGGAGAAGTGAGTGGGGTGTGTTAGTGCAAGCACAATGCAGGTAGTCCTTAAATATTCCCATCTCCCTTGAATATACCTCTCACCTACAAGCAGCCACCCTAGAACAATCCCTGTGTAGGAAAACAAAAAGACAAAATAAAACATTCAACTGGGTAGGGACATGAGACAAGACCCAAACAAATAGAAGGCTGTAGGATATGCCACAGAGGGTGCATATAATCTAAGTTTGCCTTCCAGAGGTGATCAGAAATGGCATCGTGAAGAAGGTAGGGCCTCCGTAGTCACTGGCAGTTAAGAATAAGGTTGAGTATAGATCTTTGTCTCTCAACGCAGAATAGTTAAAATGCAGATTCCTTGGTTGCTCTCACATTTACTGAATCAAAATTCAGGGTGTGGGACCTGAGGACTGAAATTTTTAAGCTTCCCAAGTGACATGCACTGAAGATGTTCACCAGCCTACATGGAGGGTGGAGTGACATGAGCAAGGGCCGTGTAGTGGGAGTACACAATATATCCATTCAACCATATTTATTAAGTACCCAGTGTTTTAAATGCTTTGAGTGTGGCTAATTTCTTTCTTTCCACAGGAAGGTAAGAAACTGACAGAGCAATTCATCTGCACTAAAGTCTCTTTATACTTGGGGTGGGGTGGGGCGGGGGGGAGGGTGGGGGAGACATTCCCCAAAGTAACTTGCGGGATGTTCGGTATGTATTTTCAGCTCTCCTTGGCCAAAAGGCAGATACTTCTGTTAGAAACCCTGAAGGTGAAACAGACCATCCTGGAGCCAATCCCTTCTTCATTGAAGTTGCTTGTTTCAGTCAGTTGCTACTGGTTGCAGCACACAGAGGCCAAGGCAAAGCTACATCACCTGCAGGCCTTACTGCTAGGGATGCTGATGGGGCCCTTGCATGTCATAATCAACAGCCCTGGTAGGTATCTGGAAATTCCAGGAGGAAAGTTTTGCACATTGTTTGCATATAATTGCAAGTTTAAAGAAACAAACAAAAATATTCTTCGTTGTTTACTCCCATCGGTTGTATTCAGAACTTAGGGGTGGAGCCACCAAAATATCATTCATTCACTGGCAGATGTTTTTGAGCACTTCTGTGTGCCAGGCTCAGTGCTGGAGTGCTTGACTCCAAGGGCACAGCAGTGAAGGTATGCTGCTACTGCCTCATCCCACGCGAAGTGTGCATGTGTAACGTGCCAGTTACATTCTGGACTCCATGTACCCTATCCCTATTCCCGAGCATCAATACAGTGGCAACACAGTTACATTCTGGACTCCATGTACCCTATCCCTATTCCCGAGCATCAATACAGTGGCAAGATCATCACTAGAAATTTATGTAAAATTGTCCATCGGTGAAGCTTCTGAATTCCTACAGCCATAGTAAATATTCGTGCTTGTGCCATTGTTTTACTTTTTCTCCACTGTAAGTTTCAATTAGTGTGTTAGTGACGACAGAAATAGTAACTTTTTTTTCTGTTAGAGAAATACCCTTTAAGGTAGTTTCAGCTGCATGTAAGTATCAGGTGAAATAAATGCTGATGTCTTGGAGCACTTCAATTCTTTAATAGAATTATTTCCTTTAAAAGATTATGAATGCTGTAACTCCTTATCTAAACACATATAACAATCACCACACCCAGAACAGTGCTGTCTGATATCTAATCTATGCTGTCTGATATCTAATCTAATGGCCATTAGCCATGTGTGGCTCTTTAAATGAAAACTTCAGCTTCTTGGCCACATTTGAAGTGCTCAGTAGCCACATATGGCTAGAGGCTACTGAATTGGACAGCAGAGACACAAAACACTTCCGTCATTGCTGAGAGTTCTGTTGGACAGTGCTACACTGGAGTTTACTTTAAAAAATTTTTTTTTTCAACATTTATTTATTTTTGGGACAGAGAGAGACAGAGCATGAACGGGGGAGGGGCAGAGAGAGAGGGAGACACAGAATCGGAAACAGGCTCCAGGCTCTGAGCCATCAGCCCAGAGCCTGACGCGGGGCTGGAACTCACGGACCGCGAGATCGTGACCTGGCTGAAGTCGGAGGCTTAACCGACTGCGCCACCCAGGCGCCCCTGGAGTTTACTTTTTAAAACACATTAAAGGAAAGAGTGAACTGGTACAGACTCCAGGACACCCCAAGTGTGAGAACAGTTGTCAGAAGCGACTCTTCTTATAAGAGCCAACTGAATGAGTTAACGCCCACTACTGGTGAAAACACAACTTTAGGGTATTTCCACCTATTGAATAATACTGTAGTTTAAGAACATTCTCAGAGCACAAGCCTGTTAATTTTTTACCTGAGTCCAACAGAAGGGGCACGTCAAGGGTCTGTTTCTTTTCTTTTAGGAATTGTGGACCCTGCACCCAGGCAGGCTCAGTGCCTTGCTGCTCGCTAATGCGTAAAAGGTGGGCCTCCTTTTTATTACTTTCAAGTTGGTCCAACATCATTTTGCACGCCCCTACTCAAACCTGCAGGAGCTTACAGCTGAACGCAAACAGCACTCCTCATTGCCTAGGCTTGTTGCTTCTTGCCTCTTAACCTCCGCTATGTGAAGTAGATGATTTGCCATAGTCTCGAGTCAGTCATGCTTTTGTTTTCCTCCCATAAAGCAGAGGTTAAAGTGTGCTTTGAACACAGGCTGTGTAAGTGCACTATAGCAAGGGGCGGGTCTCCATGGAAGGAAACTTAGTGAACGAGAACAGTGAAGAGAAGGATATTTAATAGTAATTTGTATTTTTCAGAGAGACAGATTTTGGGTTTGGAGAGTTCAGAAGCAGATGTATTTTAAGTCAGAGATACTATTTTAAGGAAAAAAATAAATAATTTAGAGTTGAATGAAGTTAGGTTGTCATTAAAAAGGCATTTCAGTATAAATATTTCAATGTATACAGCAAGGCTTTTACATTGACGTTAAAATAGTAAAGAGCCAGAAGAGAAAAGCATTTTGGTTATTTAAAGTAATTTTTTTCTTTATGGAATTCAAAGTTTTATAGAGAGAGAAAATTACAAGCTATACAGTGTTTTTGGAAATACTGCCCTCGGGTTGTTTCTTTGTCTAGATAAGGAAGATCTGCGGGAGGATGGTGCTAGGATGTTGTATGAAGAGTTCCAGAGAGTGAAGGAGCAGACACGGCCGGGCACGAGACTGGACTTAGACACAGCTCACATCTTCTGTCAGTGGCAGTGCTGTCTGCAGATGGGGATGTATCTCAATCAGCTGCTGTCCGCTCCTCTCCCGGAACCAGACCTAACTCGGTAAGCACCACGGGAAACTAGTTCAGATGGCTGCACACAGAAGTAAATACTTTTATTTATACTTAAAGCAAATAAATTTCTAAAAATTAATCTTAGTATAATTGGTCTTGGATCGCTATTATAGCTGAAGAGCTGGAAACATATAAATTTTTGTCCATATTCCCAAAGAAAATTGCCATGATTAGATCAAAGATTAAAAAGCCAGTCCCTTAAAGTAAAAAAAGAGGCAGTTGTTGGTAGGATAGAACTCTTTCCTTCATTTCTCTCAGGCCTTTGATCAAGTATCACTTTATAAAGCCTCTTTCTGATTATCCTCCTGGAATATTACTCTCTACTTCCAGTCACTGTAGTCCTATTACTCTTTGGATTTTTGTAATTGCATTTCTTAACACGTGGCATACTGTTCATACACTTGTTCAAATATTTATTAAATGCCTACTCTGTGGTAGGGTGTAGTGAACAAAATATTTCTTTTTAATCTCTGCTGTCATGGAGCTTTTATTCTAATAAGATGACTCCTAGACACTTAAGTGGACTTTATTTAGGGTTTTTGCTTTGCCAGGTGAGTATGAAGAAGGGAGAGGCAGCCTGTATGCCAGGAAGGGATTATCATGTTTGAGTATGGAGTTTAAGCTGGTAAGAAAGAAAGGATAGCAGTAGGGTGTGGGTACTACGTTCAGTGGATTGGACATCCAGGAGATCCCAGAGGGAGGGAGAGAGGAAGAATAAAGGGGAGATTGTTAGCAAATGGAGTGGAGATTGGAGATACACTTTGTCTCTCTCCACTTGAATGGAAGCTCTGTGAGGAAGGCACTTAGCTATTTACTTTTGTAGCCCCAGTGCCTAGCATTTAGGAAAAACTCAAATATTTGTCAAATAAATGAATGATGTATGTTTGGAGGCATATAAAATCTGCTGGTGTGACTTTTAAGTGTTTTAAGGTATAAAGCTTCCTAGCAGTAAATAGTGTTAATACATCTCTGGACCTGATAATCTGAGTCAACCCTAGAACCTTCTACCCAATAAGATTAACTAGCCTTTGACCTATGGATTCTTTATGCCTTTCCTTTTTATTTATTTATTTTTGTCTTTTTTGTGCCTTTCATTAAATAATTGAGGTCATTCTAGACTGGATCCTCTCTAGCTACCACAAATCCCTTTATGACAAAACGGGAAAAAACAAGACCAAACAGTTCTCTTCATAATGATTTCAGCAGGACTGTTTTTGCATCTCAGCTTTACTAAAGCTTTTTAAATGATGGTTTTACACTGATTAAATGATGGTTCTGCATTAGTTGCTAAGGCACCAGTGGATCAACTCTGGCAGTAAGTTATGTATTAAATTTGTGGCTTCCAGTTAACCACATCTTACATTCCTGCAGTAGATTCTCAGTGCAGGTGAATCAGTGAGCTTGCAAACGATGCCACTAAATTTTCTCATATTTCAGCAGACTGCCCATTTGGTTTATCAGACATTTTTAATTCCTTTTCTTTGAAGTGGTAAGAGGCCTGCTCAACTTTCAGCTGGTTGCAGAACCAGCAGGCATCTATCTCATTTGTTGACAAAGAGTTTTTAAATATCATCAGCCAAATTTGTACTAACAACTCAGTTCCTTCCTTCAAGGAACAGGTTTTTAAGTAATTTTAGTACTAATTGTATTGAAGAGCTAAGTGTTTAGCTGCACTTGTTAAAGCCATGTTAATGAGCAAAGTTCTCCACTGAACGTATGCTTTAACAACACTCTTTTCCTCTCCCGTGAGACAGACTGTACAGTGGAAGCCTGGTACACGGACTGTGCCGACAACTGCTAACATCGACTTCTGTAGAAAGTCTCCTGAGCATGTGCCCTGAGGCGAAGCAACTTTATGAACATCTGTTCAATGCCACAAGGTCATATGCCTCTGCCGAATTATTCCTACCAAAGGGTAAATCAAATTCAAAAAAAAAAAGACACAAGAAACAAGGTACCAGCTGGTCAAAGAACAGAGTGGGAACCACCTCAGACACTAAATGCTGGTACGAGGGAAGCAATCGGTTTGGGCTACTAACGGTTGAAAACTTGGAAGAACATATTGAGCTCTCAGAGCTTGAATAAACTCGGTCTGCAACAAGATGTACAGTTTTTTCTTTTTTTTTTAAAGTAGGCCGCACACCTAATGTGGGGCTTGAACTCACAACCCTGGGATCAAGAGTCCCAGATGCTCTACTGACTGAGCCAGCCAGGCACCCCCAGATGTGTAATTCTTAAAACTTTGATTACCTCCCTTCAAATGATTAACTTTTTTCTTTACAACTAATCTGTTAGGGGATAAACATTGTAAGAGGCGATCTTTGAATTCGAGGGTATTTTGTATTCTGTTTTTAATAAATACAATCTGATTTAAGAAACTTCTGTATTTTCTTAAACACACTTGAAAGCATGTTTGTACTTCTCATTCCGTTTTAGGAAGTTAATAAGTCTATAGCCTTTACATTGCAGCAACTCAGCCAGCTATGTTTTCAAAAAGAATATAAGTTCTGCTTCAATTATTTCCCATAAGCAGAAGCTGGGTTATTATCATTTCAAAACATTTTTTTCCCAAATGTTTCCTCTTCATCCTTTATACTGAAAGATCTGAGCCTTAGAAGAGAGAAGTTGAGGATGCCAGACAGAAAGTAAACACCTTTAAGTACTAGGAAAATGAGACCCATGGCAGGCTTGAGGAACATTTTATATGCTCCAGGTTTTAAAGCAGAAGTTGAAATTGTAATGGCTCCAACAAATTAAGAAATAGCATCCTGAGCTCCTAGATCTAGAGGAGAAGGAGGAAACACTATGAAGAAATTAAAATATTAGTGATATATGCAGCAATACCAGAATCTTAGGCCATTTTTTTATACTGCAATTATTGACCTATTAATGGGATATGAAACCAATGAGTCATAACCAGTATTTTTTAAGTGGAAATCATTAGGCATGCATATCATATATTAAATGGTTGTACAAAATGTATTTCTTACTGTGGATTGCAGTCAAAAGACTTTGAAAGGCACCGCTCTGGAACACACTAGAGGCTGCTAAAATTACAACTACCAATAGAATTGGGAAAGTGCTGGCCAGTTCCAAATAAAGAACTTGAAAATAAACAAGCAAGTGGAATCAATCTAATTGGGCAAGATCTAGAGATCTGAAGGTGTATTCCCAACCTTTATTTTATTTCTATGCATACAAATTGTGTTTTTCCTTTCTTCTGTACTGTCTCACTGGGTACATTCCATCAGTAAGAACCCTAAACACAGTTTTAAGCTGCCATGTTGAACAGGCCTATATTCAGTTCCTAACATCTGGCAAACAAGTCTTTCCACTTCCCTAGTGAGAACCATACTCTTAGGGGAGTACACCTAGCATCAGCCAGTGTTCTATACACACTTTCCAAGTGTTTGCTGGCTTTAGCCATTTATAAAAGACAAAACACAGTCTTATTTGTTCCTAAAGTTTTCAACCCTAAAGACTGGCTTCTGTTTCAAATAAAGAGTTCTTGAAATAAAATTGTTTATTTTAGGAGGAGTGCATGGGGCTCTGTACTAAGGTGGTTTTAATGTCTCTAAAGAGCTGATTCTTCACAGAATAATCAAAAAAGCAGTCACATGCTCTATTATTGATACATGCTTTTCCAACAACTAGATCTAGGCACATCTAAGTAATTACAAGCATATTAAGTCCTTTGTTGTATCAAAATTCTTTTTCTTGATTCCTGCAGTTGGGGGCCAATCTGGAAGTTAGACCAGTATGAGTGTCCTATTTCCTGGCTTTATCATCAACCCTGCCTTTGCAAACAACCAACCTTGCATGAAAGACTATTTCTACCTCCACTTTGGCAAATAAATAGTTTGATAGGTACCCAACCGAACAGTGTATAGGCTACAGAGTTTAATTACAAGTCAACTTAATTATATCATTCATCTTTTTCTTTCATTAAAAGAAGTTTTTCAAGCAAAGGGGCCCTCCTTCAGTAGACCTAAGAAGTCAGGTTCCCTTCTCTAGCCATTATAATCAGGGCCATTTACTTAAAATTATCCACCCAGCCTTCCAGTAAAGGAGTTAAAATCTAATAATGTCCATCGACTCTTACTCTCTGAGAATTAAGGCATTACCCCACCCCATTATATATCTTATCTTGGATGTATGAAATGAGAGGTCATAAGCACTCCACAGGGCATCTGAGGGGTTTACCAAAGAAATACGATATAGAACCTGATCCCCAAAGTCATGCTTGTGCAAGCTGTTTGGTGAGACAACATACAATGAAATAACAAGAACATTTTATGAAGCAATCTGTCAACTACAAAATGGCAAAGTGAAACTGAATGCTACGATAAAGAGACAGGAGTCATCAAGATGAGGAGAGATTAAGTCACAAGATTCTCAGCTTTGGCTTCTGAGCTTGGCTTTAAGAGACAGGGATGTAATTCAGAGGAGATGCAGGGGCAATGGAAACACCTCTGTAGAAGCAGAATGTTATACATTCCACGTTCCACTTGGAAAATTTGTTCCCTGTTTTTAATCATGTCTTTAGGTCTTGCTCTTTCTGATTCAATTCTAGCTAATCAAAGCTCACCCGAGGCTTTGGAAATGTAAGTCTTCAGTTACCAGTTTAAGTATGAAAGGAACTCTGGACAGCTTTTTTAAATGAGTAAATCTTAGGAGTAAAGTTGGAAGAAAAACACTATAATATAACCATGTTCTGTGTCTAGTTGTGATAAAATTATACTTGAACTTTATTGGTACAACCCCTTTTTAAGATACCTAGACCTAGAAAGTTTAATGTATGTATCCTGTAAATATAAACCCTAAAGGCATTTCATGATGATTGATCATGACAAAAAATTCAAATTAATTTTAAGATTTAAGTTTGTATTTATAATTCAAATTAATTATGATTTTAGAAGATAAAGACCTTTATAGCTAGAAAGATCTTGGAATTATCTTTTCTTCCTCTGTGCATAAAATAAATGAAGAACTATGCCTCAGTTACCCTATCTATAAAATGGGGATCAGAATACTTTCAAGTGTCCATAAAGATAAAATGACATGTACTTTTTTTTTTTTTTTTTAAATGTTTATTTTTGAGACAGAGAGAGACACAGCATGAACGGGGAGGGTCAGGAGAGGAATACAGAATCCAAACAGCTCCAGCCCTGAGCCATCAGCCCAGAGCGCCCGACGCTGGGCCTCGAATCCTCACGGATCAAGATCGCGTTGGCTGAAGTCGACGCGAACTCACTGGCGCCACCCAGGCGCCCCGTCATGTACTTTTAAATTACTAAGCACAGTGCCTGACACTAACAACAGTAGTAAATGATAGCCATTATTGTTACATCCACACAAGAAAACCAACAGCAAAGCAAGGGCTCTGGGCAGGAGTGAGAGAGGGCTGAGCAGAAAGATCACCACCATGAGACCAATGGCTGCCAGAGATAATGGCAGAAATTCTGCAGAGGCAAGGAGGTCACCACTATCAAATATGGTGAGAAGGGCAAGAACGTGAAAACAGCAACTTCAGCAGAGATGTTAGGCTGAAGCCAAACTAAAAAGAGAAGTGCCAAGAGAATGTGAATAAGCAGCCAAGCTCACTCAACCTCAGAAAACAGGGGGGAAAGACCAGAAGGAACAACCATCCCTATGGGTATTTGTGCCCTTCCTGCGCTTTTTTCTTGCTATCGAGGAATTTTCTATATTGTTTTTGAAACCGAATTTGAAATATACTCGGTTTTAAAACTATGTGTAAAGACAGGAAAAAATGAATAGCAGATATGCCTTACCCCATAATCCTAAGGAGGCCAAAGTCAGTTTCCCCCTCTCAGTGAGATTTCCAGACTTCACTGGGTACCATCACTCCCTAGTACATGGTACTTGGCTGGCTGGCACACCATGAACCCAGAGGAGCCCCTGGAAAGCAGTCACCTCCAAGACCAAGAGAAGCAATTTCACTTCCCTAAAAGGACAAACTCTGTCCTTTTAGTATCTGACTCCAAATATAGTGACCTTGTATTTTTAGTGAGGTGGACATAGGGTACTTGGTATTTACTGCATGTCTTACATTGATGCATTTCAGTCAAGACAGCTGAAAATGATTCTGCACCTTGTATCTACTTGAAATTAAATACTATTTATTTTATAAAGATTATTAAAAAGATGCCTCCCCACTTTCAGCAACAGCTTTCTGAATAAAACGGTAAGCTGCTTTGGCATTTCTCTCCAGGTCTGAAATATGCTAAAATTCAAGTTCATTCAACTATAAAAATTCTAAGATGAGGACCTCATGCTGAGGAAGAATGTTTTAAAATTCAAAGCCATGACTGCACCAGGCCATGTATCAGTCTGTTAAGAGGGGAAAATAGATGAATGAGGTAATACATGGAAAAGAATTTCTAGCTTGTTTCATAGGATCTAGTTTTCAGAAAGAAAAATCAAACTTCACAGGAATGTGTTATAATACACATGCAATCACTTTTATTCCTACCTAGTCTTGATAACATTTTAGATATCTGGTTAAAATAGATAAATCATTCTCTCAATATTTATATGTGTACATATATGTATACACACATACATATACACATATTTTAACAAATAATTTTCTCATTATGACTTTGGAGACACTTGGGAGATTTCTTTGTACAATATAATTCACTGTCGTCAGGATCAGGAAACACCTAGGAATATTTTTGTAAAAAAAACAAAAAACAAAAAACTGATCAGAATGTATTAATATTGGAATTTTGATAATTTGGAAGACTGAAACATTTGACTGTGAAAAAATTAAGCCAATGTGATCTAGCATACAAGATTAGGAAATCTTTTCCACTGTGTTTTTTCATATAATTGCTGCTTTTTGGAGGATGAACTGAGGTGCTGTTTCTTCCAGGAGAACTGCTATATGTCGAACTGGGCATTACCCTCCCCATAACTTCTGTCTGATTCATGTGTGTTACACATTATGGGGGGATAAATCAAAGGATGTTGATAGGGAAAACAGAAAGTCTCCTTTCCAGTGTCTCAATGCTTGCTAACATGGATACAGAATAATAAACTATATTCAATGATACGGAGGG